TCAGAACAGATAGAGGGGACTTCATAAAAGTGTAATACTTTTGTTCATCAAAGGACTATATCAACAAAGTGAAAAGAGAGTCTACAGACTGGGAAACTTTTTTTCAGAAATCATTTTCATATACCCAGTAAGGGTTCAATATGCAATAGTACATATAGATAATATATATATGGTACATATATATTCAATATGTATTTAATATATAACCATATTTAATACATATCTTAAACTTCTAAAATAAAAAGACAGACAACTCAATCAAAAGTCAACACCTCTCCTGCTAGCTGGGGACCTTTCTTCTTTGCAGCCAGCAGACTGCCTACCGCTGGACCTGCTGATCCTGGGCCATCAGCCTCTGCCAGTACGTGCGGCAGGAGAAGCCTCCCGCCTGACATCTGACCCATGGACTTGGAACTTGCCAGTCTGCACAACCAAAGCAAGCCCTTTCCTTGGGACAAATCTCTCTATATTCCTATATATGCTTCGCTGGTTTTGCTTTTTAGAGAGCCTAGCCTAAAGACACCTCCCAAGTCAGTATCAAACGTCACAGGGAAGTCGCACCTTGCCCTCCAAATACAGATGTGTTTTCTTCAGTTGTAAGCACGGAGAAAGAGCACTCCAAGAGATGCTGGACAGTAGAGGCATAGTTGAAGCAGCCAATGAACAGCCTTTCTCTCTCTTAGACATGGGGTCGCGAGGAGTCAGAACCGATCTGATGGCACCTAACAGCAAGTCTTTTCGTCTGAGTACACACGCTGAGGAAACGTCTGCCAGGGCGACCTAAGGCAAAGAGCTGAGAGGACGCTTGCTCACCGGCTGCAGCCTTTGTCACCCAGCGAGGAGGAGGAGCTGGGCCCTCGGTGGGGGCTCTGTGTCCTCTCAGCATTCCCACCAGGTGCCAGGAGGCAGTGGTTGGGTAGACTTCTCCCCTCTAACAGGAGACCCTGGCCAAAGCACTTCATGCACAGCCAGCACCCAACCGTCACCGAAGCCTGTGTACTGCTGTGATGTTGGACAGCTTTCAAGGGAGCTCCCGGCCCATGACGAGCTCCCAAGAAAGGCTTGGCAATAGACTTACAAAAACCACCACCACTCACTGCCAGCGAGTCAATTCTGACTCATAGCGACCTTACAGGACAGGGTAGAACTGCCCCAGAGGGTTTCCGAGACTGTGATTCTGCAGCTCGTTCTATCATCATGACCTGCCTGGGGCACCTTTGCTCAGCCACGGAGGCCACACTGGCTTTTCTGGCAGGCTACTCTGGACATCAGCCAGACCCACCAACCCTGCGAGGCAGAGCCACCTCCGCCCTCAGCTGACTGAGGTCACAGGCACACAGGGCTCATGCGTAACCACTGCTGGGCAGGCAGCTCCTCTGAGTGACCACGGGGACAGCCCTCCATCCTTCCATTCCTCACCTGTGAAGCTCCAGGAACCTCGAGACGAGCCTGGTGAATGGGAATCTGCCCCCCGAGTCCCCTCCAGTAGGAGTCGAGTTCCCCAGACCTACAGGTCCCCCCAAGGGCCGATGCAGCCAGACTCTCCACCCAGCATGCAAGCTTTGGCCACAAGATGTCCCTGGGGCACTATGCATACCTTAGGCTGGCCATCTCCTGCCTGCCTTGTGTCTGAGCTGGGGCCAGCTGCAAGGTCCTCTTCCTGGCCTCCAGTCATGCTCCCCCCCTGCCTCCCAAGACGCCTCACTGTGGCCACGAGCCATAGCTCACCTGGGAAATTCTGGATGGAGCAACTCATGCCAATGCGTCCGTCTGTCTGGGGCTCGTCTCTCTGGCTGTCAGGGCCAGCCCTTTCTGCAGACTGCGACGATGGCAGAGACAATGTTGCTGCAGTGCAACACCTGGAGCAAACACGGCAGGGCTCGGAGAACTAGTCTCCCCAGGCAGCTCATGACCCAGGAGGTGGGGAGGGCCCGTGACCCTGGGTCTGCTGGGAGGGTGTGCAAAGTACCCAGCAAGGCCTGCTTGTCTCCAACTCCCACCTTCCACTCCTGTCTGTCTGTGGCTGCTGTGGCCGCTCCGGGCACACCCCTTGGCCCTCAGCACCCCCAGCCTCTTCCTCACGGTACTCCCTCACTACCAGGCCCACTTGCCAAGACTGGCCACAAAGGGACTCGCATGGGCACACGCAGTGCTTGTGGTTGTGTGGCTGTGCCATGGCTGGATGAAGGAGACCCTGGGACAGGCTGCCCAGCGGTGCCATCTCCTCAAGGTAGTGTGCCTGTGGGGCTGTCCCAGTGGGCTCTGAGGGTGACCCTTGGCTTTGACCAAGTGAGTGGGAACGAAGGCGGATCTCCTAGGAGAATTCCTACTTCCAGCCTGCAAGTAAGCGAATGAGCACTTATTGTAAAATACATGTAGGTTGGCAGCGCTGCCGGGCACAAGCAAATGTCTGTGTAGAAGCATTAAATCCTCAGGTGTCCTGTCGTGAATGTCAAGGCCCCGTAGATGTCGCACGGATACCGCGATGTCTGTGAAAGAGCCCTGGCTGTGCGAGGTGGGTCTGTGCCCAAAGCTCAACCAGCTACTCTCGCCACGTCGTCGTCAGCCCTGAGGAAACGCCCCTGCATTTGCTCTGGAGCCCTGGGGTCGAGTCCAGGACCTGGAATCCGGGGCAATCACGGTGGATCTTCTCAGAAGTCACCAGGAGGTCGAGCTAGGATGTGGCGCTGCCTTCCCAGGCCCACACAAGCATTGCGTGGCACTCTCCCCAATAGAGGGTGACCTGGGGAATGGCTGGAAGATACCGGACCCCAAACCCAACCTACGGTCATCAAGCCAATTCTGCCTCCAGTTCTACGTGAGGACCGAGGAGAGGCCTCCTTAGGGTTTCCAAGGCTGTAGTCTTGGGTTTGGCAACCCAATGCTCAACCTAGTGAGCTTCCCAATTTCATTTCTAGGGATCCCATGATTAAGCAGCCCAGGCCATAGGTTTGTGCACATCAGCTACTCTGATTACTGGTCTGCTCTGCTGTCTCGGACAGTAGACCCATCCAGCCTCAGCCCCCACTCCCCAAGGACAGTGTGTCTCATTCTCCCCGTTACATGTAGGAGTCCCATTTCGGTGGTGGCAGCTCTGTCATTCCCGACGTGAAGGGTGCACCGTGCTGGGACTCCCCTCAGAAAGGTGTTGTCTGGACCCTCGGCCATGGTGACCAAGCACATATGACATGATGAATCCACACCAGCACTCCAGTCTCCCTTTGCCTTTGGACGCCGTCTGCTGTAGTGAACCAAGATGGTTCTGCCATTCTGGCCACACTGGGTCATGATTCAGCCAGTTAAAAGTCCTGTGGAGCTGCATTACCGAGTCCAGAATCTCTGCTTTAATGGACCCATTTCAATAAATTTGCTCTGACCCAACTTCGTTTCTGCTGCCTCGATCCCATCCCATGCAGACTTATTACTGACACACGTGTTGCCGAATTCCTGTTGATATAAACTGGGAAAAGCATGTGGTTCTGATGGCGTGTAGCATAACCCCTCACAGGTCAACCGAACTCGAGTCTACTTACAGGGCTATAGAGGTGGGGAAGGGCAGTAGGATGGCCCTGGAGATAGAAACAGGCTCTCAAGGCAGAGGGTGAACCTCTTCAGGCAGGGCCATGGGCCACTCCTACTGGCAAGGAAGAGTGACGGTGTTGGGGGTTCAATGGCTCTTGCCCGCATGTCCCCATCCTATCTTGGGGACCCTGTTCCTTTCCAATCAAGGCCTTACTTTGCAGACACTCTTCTGAGGTTGGGACCTGTAATCTGGCCACTGGCCAGAGCCCTGGGTAGGAACTTCCCGATCTGTTGGTTATTCCTAGCTTCTATCATGGCACAGCCAGTGCTGCTGTGATGTGCACTGCGATTGGTCCCCTCCCATCACGCCTACTGCTCACTCTGGAGGTGCACCCTTCCCAGCCTTTTCTTTTCAATGTAACAGTTTTATGTCAATCTGGCTGTAATTCCCAGTTGCGTGACTCAATGCTAATCCAGTTGCTGCTATGGAGTAGCTACATGTGATCATCAGTTACATGACTAAATCAGTTAGTTTTAAGTAAAGCAGACTATTTCCCATACTGTAACGGCCTTCTGTAATGCAATGTACAACACATGATATGCAACACAATATCATCATCCATTGGTCCAAGGGCCTCAGGTGCAAAAAGGTGTTTCCCTGGGGTGTGTTTGGCCTCCAGACTACAAAGAGGAATTCTGGCAGAATTCTCATACACACGTGGTGCAAGGTAGACGCCATGTGAGGATTGTCTACATATCAAGGACTCAAGGCAGGCTCAGGGCGACCAACAAAGAAGGGTACACATGGCTGAGACGCCAATTTGGACTTTTAGCTCCCAGACCGAGGAGAAGATACTTTCTTTTTTTCAAAGCCATCTACTTGGCTCTGTGTTATCTGTGTTACAACAGTGCTGGGTAATGAAGGCAGAATTTGCTACGAAGCGTGGGGTACTGCTCTGAGAAATGTCTAAAATGTGGAAGTGGTTTGTAACTGACTAATGAGTTAGAGGTCTGAATTTTCGTGTGCTAAATTGTGGGAGCCGAGCTTGCCCTGAATTCACTGAGACACTCTTTTGTGGGGGAAGAGCTAGCCGTGCCCTTTCATGGGCACATCTTTGGCCTTGGCCTGGTACCATGAACGACCTCTACCCGCCCTCATCAGCATTCTTCCTGCCTCGCTTGCTCTAGGGAACTGAGGTCTTCCCTTTACTGAGTGTGGGCATTGTAGTCAAGTATTTACTCTGTGGCCTGGGCTCCTGGCTGTCTCTAGAGTAAGGACTCGTGTAAGCATCATTATGTTCTAGGTCTACAGCCTCCTGTGGCCTGATCCTGGGGACTGCACGCATCTTACTCGCTCTGCATCAGAAATGGAGAAGGCTGCCAATGGCCCTGTGTGCAGTGGGGCTCTGAGAGTGGCTCTTGGCTTTGGGCAGGGGAATGAGGGCAGACTGTCTTGAAGAATTCCTCTTTCAGGCCTGTAGGTACGTGAGTAAACATTTATTGTAAAATGTACTTCGGTTGGCCATGCTGCCAGGCCCAAGCAAATGTCTCTCCCTGAGTGACAATCCCCCAGGTGCCCTGTCACTAGTATATCAGAACTAGCAGCAAGCACAAACCCTAGCCAACGACCGCCTTGTGGGTGCGGCAACTCTGTGGGTGCGGCAGCTCCAAGATACCCAGGTGTCTGGCTCAGTTATTCTTTGAACTTCCAGCATCACATTTGGATGGACAATGGATGTTGTAAGAGGAAAGGTCAGAATTTTGTGTCCTGAACTGCAGTCTGAGGGTCCCCCGAGGTCCTGGAGGTCCAGTTTTCCACATGATCAAGTCAAGGCCCACGTGGGAGGTTCTACCCCACTCCTCAGTGTGTAGTGAGCAGGTAGCACATTCGGGTCACGTGCGCCGGTAGAGCGACCAGACACTGATGCGCTGGTCCCCAGAACCGGCAGCTAATAAGCCATCACTGGCAAAGGCCACACAGTGGACAGCCGAGGTGTGGAAGTCCAGCACTGCCAGCGGCTTCATTGTTCTCCAGTGGAACAGGCGGACACGGTGGTCCCAGCCGGCGGTGGCCAGGAGCTTGCGGTCTGGCCGGATGGTGATGTCAGCAATGCCGGGATTGGTGAGCTCGTAATTTCTACACGCCTACGAGAAAGCAGAAGGGGGAACTATTAGGCGAATGACCTTCAAATCCTCATCCATCCATGGCTCTGACGTCTGGCTATCATGGCCCAGGAAGGAGATGCAGGCCCACCATGACTGGTACAGGCTCCTACAGAGCTTGCCCCTCCTCTCACAGGCAAGGTACAGACCTGGCTCAGGAAGTGGTCTGTGCTTTGTTCTTGACCAGATCCTTCGGTTCTGAGAGAAAAATTGAGGAATTCCCCTGTACCTCTGATGGCCAGCAGGGCTGCTGTGTGAGCTTCTCAGCTTATGGGTCTGGGGTCGGTTCTGACAGATTCCCTTCGCCCGTTCAAGAGCGGCCCTGGGAAGTTCACTTTAAGAAAGGTGTTTCTAGCCCTTGGGAAGGGTAGACGGTAGCGCCTCTGGGTGTCCCTCACCATGGGAACACACTGAGGTGAAAGCACCCATCGCCAGACACTACTCGGCAACCAGCCTGGAGCACAGGAGTCTGAGAACTAGACACCATCAGAAGATAGCAGAGCCACTCGAAGGCCTGGAAGACAAAGGGAGCTGAAGAGTGAGACTCGGGCAGAGTGTGGCCCGGATGAGTGAGTAAGCGCACTGGAGGCATGGCTGCCGGAAGCGGTGCAAAGTCTACGAACCTGGCTGAGGGCACGAGCGTCCCAACTTCTGCAGGGGTCTGAGCCTGCTCTGAGCAGCGCACAGATGTGGTGGCTGAAAGCCCACTCACCCAGTCCTGGGGAATGAGAAAGCTTCCTGCCCCAACCCTCCGGTTTGGCATGTGCCTCTGGCAGCCACAGGGGAGGCTCCCGGTGATGCCATTGTGGCTAAGGCAATTCCTGGTTTTACAGATTGCCTCATGCAGGGCAGGCTACTTAGCAACTTTGTCCCACGCACTGACAGAGGCACTTTGCAATCACTGTGACAGTCCAAGTGCCCAACATCTCTAAATGCCATCCCCAGCTAAGAATCACTCACTTCAACAAGAAGAACACAAAGAAAAAGGAGGAAGAAAATGGAAGAAACAAGGGGAAAAAATGACAACACTTCTCAGAAGCAAAAGGGATGGGCAGTCATCAAAGGAGTTTACCGTGAGTTAACAAAAAAAGGAAGCATAAGGAGGTACCAGCTTACATAAACAAGAGCCCAAAGCAGCGCCACACAGAAGATCATCTGGACTGGCAACACTCAGGAAAGACGTGGAAGGAAAAACCCAAAGGCATGAAGGTCAACTGGAAAGAGATGGTAAGTCAATAAAATAAATGCACAGATTAAAGTGGACCAAAGAATTAGAGTGGACTGAAAACTAAAGGCAGGTGGGTGTGGGATGAGGTTGAGAGAGAGTGAATTTCAATTTCTAGAATTGAAGTCTTAGGATCTAAGTCCCAAGAAAGGCAGTAGAGTGTCCCTACTAGAAATATAGGACTTTATAGGTAATCAAGTCCTCTCAGCAGGCAGTGGGGGAAAGATCCAGTCAATTATAAGGATGACCAAGAAGCAGTCCTTGGAATGTTCCACAGCCAGCAGACAGTGGAGTGATGCCCACAATGACTGAGAAGGGAAGCCTGGTCCAAAATTGTATGCCCAGTCCAACTGTCACTCAAATATAGACACAATAGACAAACATTTTTGAACATGTAAGAACTCAAAGAATATTGCTCCCATAAGCTATTCTTAGAGGACTAGAAGATTAACTCCTGTCTTATACAAGATAACTGGAGAATTATAGCAAATGATCTGGCAAAGAACACTAAATTCACTTACCTGTAGGATTAGGTCTAAAACAATACAGGGATTATGGCAACAGAACCGGTTATGTAACTAACAGAATTATGGGAGGGGAGCAAGAGAGACATGGGATGTGGTTTTTGTTTTGTTTTAAATCATTTTATTGGGGCTCGTACAACGCTTATCCAGACATACATCCGTTGTGTCAAGCACATTTGTTGCCATCATCATTCTCAAAACATCTGCTTTCCACTCGAGCCCCTGGCATCAGCTCATTTTCCCCTCCTTCCTCATTCCCCCTCCCGTATGAACCCTTGATAATTTACAAGTCATTATTATTTTGCCATATCTTACACCGTCCAACGTCTCTCTTCACCCACTTTTCTGTTGACCAAACTCCAGGGAGGAGGTTATATGTAGATCCTTGTTATCCATTCCCCCTTTCTACCCCACCTTCCCTCAACCCTCCCAGTATCACCACTCTCACCACTGGTCCTGAGGGATTAATCTGTCCTGTATCCCCTGTGTTTCCAGTTCCCACCTGTACCAGTGTACATCCTCTGGTCCAACTGGATTTGTAAGGTAGAATTGGGACCATGATAGTTGGGGGGAGGAAGCATTTAAGAACTAGAGGAAAGTTGCATGTTTCATTGTTGTTACACCACCCCCTGACGGGCTCGTCTCCTCCCCGAGACCCTTCTGTAAGGGGATATCCAGTTGCCCACAAATGGCCTTTGGGTCCCCACTCTGCACTCCCCTCATTCACAATGATGTGACTTTTGTTCCTTGATACTTAATACCTTATCCCTTGACACCTCGTGATCACACAGGCTGGTGTGCTTCTTCCATGTGGGCTTTGATGCTTCTGTGCTAGATGGCCGCTTGTTTACCCCCAAGCCTTTAAACCCCAGACACTACATCTTTTGATAGCCGGGCAACATCAGCTTTCTTCATCATACTTGCTTATGCACCCATTTGTCTTCAGCGATCCTGATGGGAAGGAGAGCACACATGATATGATTTTTCCTTCTTTGATGCCTGAAACCCGATCCCTTTGACAGCTTGTGATCGCACAGGCTGGTGTGCTTCTTCCATATGGGCTTGGTTGCTTCTCAGCTAGATGGTTGTTTGTTTATCTTCAAGCCTTTAAGACCCCGATGCTGTATCTTTTGATAGCTGGGCAGCATCAGCTTTCTTCACCGCACTTGCTTATGCTCCCATTTGTCCTCAGCAATTATATCGGGAAGGAGAGCACACAATGATATGATTTTTTTCCTTCTTTGATGCCTGGGGATGTGTTTTTAAATTTGTGAATTTTCTCATGTTTTGTCATTTGGTACCAAAGGATATAAATAACTTCATCCTTCTTGCAGGATTAGCTGACTCCCCACCATGAGTAAATGACAAGAGCAGTGTTTTTCCCTCTCCCACCCGACATACATTCCTTAGGACTGCACTTGGATTTCTGCAAAAAGTAATCAAAAGATAGACAGTGTTTTTAGGACTAGAGTTCACGGTTAACTCTGACTCTGTGATAAATGTAAGAGATACAGGGAGTCTCGGTGGGGTTAGTGGTTTGGAGCTGCCTTAACTACAAGCTGGAGGTTCAAATCCACCCAATAGTTCCACAGAAGAAAGCCGTGGCAAACTGCTTCTGGAAAAAGTACAGCCAAGAGAATTCCATGAGCAGTCCTGCTCTGTCGCACACAAAGTTGCCAAGGATTGGGGCTGACTCAGTGTCGGCCAACAGCAACGACATAAGGGGTTCAAAAAGTGAATGACTGCCAGGGTACCCCAAACACCAAACTCACTGCCATCGAGTCCGTGCCAACTCACAGCGACCAGAGAGGACCGGGTAGAACTGCCCCTGTGAGTTTCCGAGACTGTAATCGCTAATGGGAGTAGTCCCACCTTTCTCCTAAGGAGCGGCTGGTGGTTTCAAAATCCGGACTCTGTGGGTTGCAGCCCACACATAACCACGTCACCAGGGAGTGAAAAGTTATCGAGTCCCACCTTTCTGAGGTGGATGGTCTGCTGGCCATGTTTGCTTGTGTTTGGTGGCCATTCCCTGTTCTCTTTGGTGAAATAACTATCCAAATTACCCTGTCTATTTTACGGTTATTTGTCTTTTTGTTGTAAAGATGTCAAAGGTTTACATGTATTTTGGGTCATCCTTTCTGACTGGTCAAATGGTTTCAGAAGAGATTCTCCCAGTTGGTAGCTTGTCTTTTCACTTTTTTGGTAAAGCCTTTTAATGATGAAAAGGTTTCATTTTTATGAGTTCTCACTTGTTTGCTTAGTTTGTGTTTTTAAAAACCTTTACAATTTATTTTAACAATTGTACTGACATAATTCACGTATCTTACAAGCTGATCGTTTCAATGCATTAAAAAGCGTTGTGCAATCATCACCACAATCAATTCCAGAGTGCTGCTGTTAATGCCCGTGGTTAGAAGACAGGCCCGTCCACATGGCCCTTGCATTTTCTTCCAGGAATTCGTAAAACTCCATTAAAAAAAATATCTTCTAAGATCTATTTTGAAAAAGCAACCGAGGATTTAAAGTAAAACCAGTTATACTTCAAGGAGAAAATTGCGTGTGTGTAAACAGACATAACTTCAGCAGCACAAAGGAGGGGAGGGTGGGTAAATAGCATCCCACTAATAGGTGGTTATCCCGCACCAACCGTCAGTTTTCTGTACTGTGGTGGCTCGTGTGTTGCTATAATGCTGGACACTTTGCCACTGGTATTTTAAATACCAGCAGGGTCATCATAGTGGACAGGTTTCAATGGCATTACCAATACGAAAGACAGATGAGAAACAAAGGCTGGTGATGTACTTCCAAAGTTAGCCCAGGAAAACTTTCCGATCTGAAATTTCCACGTCCTTATTTTGGAGATGCCACTCCAAATACACCACACTCACTGCCAGGGAGCCGATGCCGACTCACAGTGACAGCACAGGGTGGAGAGACCGCCCCTGCGGGTCTAAAGCTGGAACTCTTTTTGAGAATAGAAATTCCCATCTTTCTCCTACGTAGTGGCTGGTGGTTTCGAACTGCTGACCTTGCAGTTAGCAGCCCAACAGGTTACCACTACGTCATCAGGAGGAGGGTCCTATTGCTTAAGAAGGACATCGTCTTTGACAAAGCAATGGGCTGGTGCGGGTGAGACAGCACACAAAAGGTTGAAGTGGTACACACAGGCAAGCCAACGTTCACCAGGATGGTGCCAGACTGGGCAACCGTTCATTGGGTTACAGGTGGGGTTG